CTAGGCGAGCCCGGGCACCCAGAGCCCGGAACGGCGGCCCCTGCTCCACCCGGCTGACCGCTCTGGAAAGTCTCCTCCCCTCTTCACCCCGCGTCCAGCCGCCACAGTCTCACGAACCCTGAAGACGTGTCACTATGAAGGAAGCCAGACTCAAAAGCCCGCGTCGCAGCCGGGCCTGGGACGGCCCGTCCGCCATCCGGGCACTTGGGAGCGCGAGCAGGGGGCCCCCGGGTCCAGGTCAGCTTGGACCAACGTCGTGAGAAGCGGTCTCCCCTCAACCACAGCGAAGAGGCCGAGCAAAGCGCACGCGAGCCGCACCCCACGGTGCCCAGCGCCGACGAGCAGAGCCCGGGAGCGGGGCGTCGTGGGGGCCGCGCTTGGGGGAGTCAGGGACGTAAAGGAAACACCGAGGACGTCTTTGGGGAACCGAAAAGATCGTCCGACACCTGCACAGCCGGCCCGTTTGAGAAACATCATTGACCTGTGTCCGTCGAAGGGGTGAATTTTGGGGTGTGAATTAGGTCTCAACTGTTACAAAAAGGAAACGAGGAAGTGTGCTCGCTCCCTGCTGCTCGAGGCGGTGCCTTGTCCAGAAAGGGTTTTTGATGGCTGGACTTTTTACTAAATATCACTAATTGTTCGGAAACAAGTGTATAGAACTTGTCTGTTCATTTATTTTTGAACATAAGATGGGGTTTGAACTCAGGCTCTCACGCTTACTTGGCTTTGCTTGAACCATGTCTCCAACCTAGCTTTTTGCTGGATATTTTGGAGATGGAGTCTAGTGACCTTTTCCAAACAGTCTGGCTTCAAACCACGATCTTCCAGATTTCAGCCTGTAGTTAGGATTACAGTCATGAATCACTAGCGCCAAGCCTAGAACTTATCTTTTTAAATTAAGGGGGAGGGGGAATACTTTTAGAACAATGCTCTGTTACACACACACACTAGAGCAAAGTGCCCATAGTTCACACCTATAAGCTTAGCTACTTAGGAGGCTGAGATTGAAGGATCACTATTTAAAGCCAGCGGCAGGAAAATCTGTGACTCGTCTCCAGTTAACCACCAATTAACTGGCAGAGCTGGCTCCTTGTACTAGGTGCTTCTGCCTGTGCAGTTCTGTAGGGTCTAAATTGCTCTGAAGGAATTCAGGGACTAAGGTACCTAACCCACAGGCAGCGCCCACAGCCCAGCTCACCCATGAGACCCCGGACCTGATGCTGGGTGTCTGTTACTTCTGTCTACTGGTAAAAATTGACTTGAGACTTAGGATTCCGAGTTTGCAGATCTGGCTGAGGTCCAAGCCCTTCAAGATTGCACACCGGGCTTGGGTCCAGGCTCGGCAGGCAATCCAGTACAGCCACGTCCCACATGTAAGCCTAGATAGCTCACAGTGGAAGAGCACAAAGTCAGATGCATTGCGATGAGTTTCACTCCCGGGTGACCTGCTGCTCTCCCCCTGCATGGGACCGTTTCTTAACAGGCCTAGTGTGCTTGTGTGAATCCATGGGAAAGCCTGCTGATGGGTTCTCAGCATCCTGGGACTTGGCATTTGTCTAGGATGATTGAGCCTCAGGGCCCCAGCACCCCGGGGCTCCAGGCTCAGGGCACAACCACTACCTTGCTGTT